TTGTTTGTAGCAGAAATGTCCAATAACTCCAGTGCTGTTTTTTTCTCCATAAGGAGGCTACTTACATGGATTTAGAATGCTACTTCATTCTAGTACTACATTTCAGCTGCCATAGATCACATTTGTAATTGTTCAATGTAAGAAATGAAGTTTATTATCTACTTATTGATCCCGAGGTATAATACTTGGCAGAAAGAAACATAAAGAAAATTCTAATATAATGTAGTAAGTTTTAATGGTGTAATTCCAAGGATAATAATATTGCTAAAAATATTATTCCCCTAAGTATGAAAAGTCATTTACCTTTAGCTGTAGGTTTCTTCTTGGTCCTAGCTAAAATATTAACTTTTAATTTATTTGAATTGTATTTCTTATCATGTATTTTCCAGATAGAGACCACCTACATTAAAAAGTGTACATATGCTAAACTAAACCAGATATTCTATGGTATCTTCTTGTAACAATGAAGATTTCATTAAGTATATTCTTCAGTGGTATGATTTCCTAAATTTATGTCATATTATCTTGCATATATAAAAAATAACCCATCATAAATAAATTTCAAAATAATCCAGAGAAGTCTTTAAAAAATACAGGTGTTTGATTTTCATTTGTACAAACATATTTGCTTACATGTGTCGCACTTACAAATTATTTCAGCCTGGATCAGTGATTTGATATTTATCAAACACGTCCAATGTTGTAAATTTGCTGGTGATCACAGTCATGAATCAGTTGCAATAAGGCAGAGGAATCTGCAAGTTTAGAACAATTCCCAGGAACTGAGCCAATACCCTGCACTCCTTTGGGATATTTAGTTGTTATTCTGATGGGCTTAAAATTGTGACCAAGGAAAGCACATATTTTGTGAGTTTTTCATGAGGAGAGACTGAAGTGGCAGGACTCAAAAATACCCAGCTACTTACATCAAGACTTGTTTTTATAATGCTGTCAAACATTACAAACATCTTACTCGTGCAAACAATACAGAAGTGTGGTTGTGTAACTAGATTTAAATGAGAGATATTAAAACAATTAAGAATTAAACCAACTAGAATCATAGAATCCTTTAGGTTGGAAAAGATTTGTAAGATCTTCAAGTCCAACCATTAATCCAGCACTACCAAACCAACCACTAAACTACATCCCCAAGTGCCACATCTACATGTCTTTTAAGCAACTTCAGTAATGACTCCACACTTTCTTGGGCAGCCTGTTCCAATGCTTGACAACTCTTCCTGTGAAACAGCTTCTCCCAATAACCAAACTGCCTTGTCACAATTTGAGGCAATTTCCTCTCATCCTATCCCATTTTACTTGGGAGAAGAGACCTATACTTACAACCTCTTTTCATGGGGTTGTAGAGAATGACAAGAAATCCTCTCAGCTTCCTTTCCTCCAGGCTAAACACTGCAGGTAAACACCCCAGCTCCCTCAGCTGCTCTTCACAGGACTCCTGCTGCAGATCCTTCCCCAGCTCTCTTGCCTTTCTCTGGACATGCTCCAGCACCTCAGGGTCTCTTGTATTGAGATGCCCTAAGCTGAGCATAGGATTTGAGCTGCAGCCTTTCCAGTGCTGAGTACAGAGGAATGATCCCTGCACGAGTCCTGCTGGGACTATAGATACTATACATATAGTACAGATATATTATATTATACATAGAGTACAGATTTTTTATTTATTACAGTTACAATATATTGCACACTATTTCTGCAAGCCAGGTCACCATTGGCCTAGTCAAAGCAGTAGCTCATAAAGGACAAAATATCATAGTAGAAAGATTTAGGTTATACATTATAAATTCCTTCACAGAAAATAAATATTCCTTAATATAAAGATACATTAACAACCTGGTAGCATCATTTAAGAACAAATCCTCTATGATTTGGACTAATATTTTTCATGCAGCTAGTCAACACTGTATCTGTGAAATGTGAATTCAAAATGAAGATTATTCTACCACCGAAAAGCTGGATATTTGCACATTTGCTTCCCATATTCATTAAACATTTTCATGCAGAAAACAATAAAGAAAAATCCCATGGAAAGCTGAAATCCTAAGCAACTAATTTTCCACTTTAGGAAGAGTCTCAGTGATCACTGTGAGCCTTATTATTGCTTTATTTGTGGGAATTACTAGCTCTTAAAATGTTGTAAATCTGAAACATGCAACCATTTACATTACAGTAATATTTAATCGAGAACTGAGAATTCTGAGATAGTTTACAAGTGGAGCTACTATAACACTTCTTGTAACATTTTTCCATTAAGAAGTTAAGAAACTGGATTAATTGCTTCATGACAATGTTTCTTTTTAAAAACTGCAGTTTCCATGCAGCAAAACATAAATGCTGTATATTGTTGCCAGCATTAGTCTGTTTTAAAATACTGCTTTTCTCCCCCAAAAGTTTATGGTGTATGTACATAGTCTGCATTCTATTACACTAATTCATGCTATAATAACCTAATAAATCAGAGATCTTTAAAGAACTCAGAACTCACACAAATGTATGTGTGGTTTGTGTGGGAACAAAACCAGAGATTCTTCAAACTCCATGCAGTCATAATACATTTGTAGGTTGCAAAATGTTATGTATGGCAGATATTATTAATTTGAAAGGGAAAATAATTTCACATTTCTAGACTGGACATGTGTCTACTTACAAATTACATTATAATTACATAATTTTGTCCTCCCTATTAGGTATGCATACCGATAGAGAAACTGGGGGACAAATCTGCAAAACACCTGATGAAAATGTAAATGATATCTGGCATTCCTTGATTTACTTGAAAGTTATTATAAAAGTTGCAGTAGCTAAAAGGTATTGATTTTTAAAATAAATGTGTACTTTAAAGGTGACAGCATGTAGTAGAGCATAAGTGCAAATTCAAATTATCTATTACTTTACTATAAATAATCAAGTGCAATTATTAATTATGGTATTCAATGGTTTTATAGCCATTTTCATATATTGTCAAAAAGTATATTAGTAACAGATAATAAAATGAAGTAGATACTACGTATATTATACTTCTGAAATACACATTTTTGAGTGAAAATGTTCATAATCCATCGAATACAGGTTATTACTAATTTTTGTAGAAGGTGTAGTTCGGATTCTTCTCAGAAAAAAACCCCAACTTTTAAGAAATAAAAATTATGAAGTCTGTAGTATCGTGTCCTACACAGTCGCTGTTGCTTATGACTGAGGCAACTTCACTCAGAAGACAGAAATACTCTTTCAGCTGATAAGAGCTTTTTGATTCAGTTTTCTGCCCTATTCAAAAGTCATGTTGAATATCTAGATCTTTTGCTTCAAAATTCCACCCTGAACTGCAGGTGAATTAAATGAAATCCAGTCTGTTGACTGTACAAGAGAAAGGTATGTGGACAAAAGGTTATGCGCAGCTGACAAAAATCCACTTCTCAGTGGGATATGTGCAGAACCATTAAAAAAAGCTCACTTTATAGTAGTTACAATTATTAATTCTCTTGCGTGGTTAAGTGAAGCATATTTCATACACCTTGTTTCCATTGCCAGCTTGTCAAGCATATTTGGACTCAGGAGTTCCTTCAGTCTGAAGGACAGGCTTCAACCACCTGAACTTGCATTTTCAGTGGATGGACTGGGAGCATGCCTGTTTGGGATGTGCCCTGGAATAATTTTGCTGCTGTTACTCACTTGGTGAGTAATTTGGGAACAGAGTGTGTGTGTTAAAGCAGTCTCCTGCATCAGGAGGAAAATATCTGCATCCTGTAGCTTGGAGTTTTGTCAGACAGGGCCCTACCACAGGACAACTGGGTTTTCTTGGCAGGTATTCATATTGTGCTTAAACATTTTTGTGAAAATACAAAGTGCCCTGAAATTTAAAGTCCACCAAGATAGTGCCACTTTAGGTGGTTGCATATAAGCACGTTTCTATGGTCCTATTCAGAAATTAGTTTATAATAAGTTTATTATATATAGCAAAATATATGCTTTGATTTCAATAGTGTTGTAAAGGTCCCGTTTAAACAAACCCAGAACCAAAAATTTTGAAGAGAGAATAATGTTTACCTTCATACAGTAAAGACAGAAGAGTTTATTCCTAACTGTACTTATAATCCCTTCTGCAGGAAGTATCAGAATATCCTCAAAGATATTTAGATTGCTGAGGCACATTTTCTAATGAGCTTGTTTGTGATCATCAGCACTTAGATAAAGCCATTAGAAAGGAAAGAAGTAAATGGTTTTTTTTATACTCTGCTGTATTTAATGAATTATGGATTTTTTAAAAATACTTGATTTTTTTCACACTATGTATCTTGAGAAGCTTTAAAACATTGCATAATTTGCATCTTGGATAATGAAATTTTCATTAATAAATATATAAACCATAAATCATTTATTCATACAGTGTAATGTAGCAGTTTATTACATACTGCTTGACTTTTGTAATCAGGGAATCCCCTGATGAAAAAAATAGCACAATATTAATTACCAGCACCATCTGTGCTAAACAATAGGAAAAACAATATTTTAATACAATGACTTCATGCATGTCAGTTATCTTCAACATTAAACCCTGCAGTTTTGTGCAGTTTTGTTGATGGGGTTTACCTTCTACTCATTTAAATAACTGATGTTCTTACAAAGGTTAAAACTATGAATAAATGAATTAAAATTAAATGTAATGAAAAATACCAATAGATACAGCTTGGATCAAGTTCATTCATCAAATAAGTGACTATACAGGTATAGATACACCTATATTTACACGTGTATTTTTAAATTTCCCTACAAATATTTTTTTCAAATGTTTTGTTTCAACAAAATTATTTACATGCTTATTACTCTCAGAAGACTAATGTTCAGCTTCTAAGAGTTGAAGGGGTTTTGTGATTTTTTTTTTAATGGATTTGTTTGTTCATTTTTTTAAATTAGCACAATTCTAAATATATAATCCTTAAAATAGAAATATCTACTTGTCAGTATTGTGAATGTACGTTGTTTTGATGCACACAAAAATACTTAAGGTGCATTTAGTACTCTCTGGATGTGTGAATTCAGGTGAGTTTGTTTCTCTCACTATAATAGCTAACATGTTACTCTTATATATCCAGGTACTGATATTGTTTAATGGTTTAATGAGTTTTAAAATTATTCTAGCTAAATCAAAGCTATACCTATGAGTATATTTCCTTCTTGAAAAATTCTGCCATAGGAGCCAGAAAGGCGTATTAGGATGAGGACAGCATTCAAATTCACTGATTGAGTCTGCCATGGGAAAATCTTCAAAGTGCCTCGCCTATATCCATATTACCAATGTCCAACATCTTTCTCTCTGCACAATCTTATTATTTGTTTACTTCTGACACAATAATTTTCTCTCAGTAAATTGTCATCCTGTTCAATAATAATATTTAAGCATACACCAATTACTAGAAGTGTTTTTTTCCGTATCTATCATATATTGAGGTTGCCTATTGACTTTCAACTTTCCCCATAACATCTGTTTTAATTTTTCAGTACTTCAAGACTATGCATTCACGGTCTTCAAAGGTATATGTCAGAATGCTAAGAAACCACAGTAGGCTGTGTCCCAGCATGCATATGCTTTTGGTGACAATTATTCAGGTTTGTTATTTAGAATTCTCACTTTCATACACACTTTCATAAGTATTGTGTATAACATTGTTTGAAGAAATTTATCTGAGAGAAGACAGTAATGAGAGTCCCAAAGCCTTAAGAACTGCCCAGAGCATTTATTTACCGTAATAAAAATAAAATGCTTATTTACAGCCATCAGCTCATCTACTGAAAGGCAGTGTGAATTCTCCCAGCCCCTGGGCAATCTGCTTTTCCCAGGCCTCTAGTGAGCTGAACATTATTCTCTAGCAGTGTATGTGCACTTGACTGTGCCAAAGGCAGGCTGCTCCCTGCTCTCTGCATGGTGTCCTACCCACCCTGCAGCTGGCTGATTTTCAGGCTCTTCCATACCACACATGGAGAGCCATGACACTGGCTCAGAATCATGGAATTGTTTAGGTGGGAAAAGACCTCTTGGATCTTTGAATCCAACCGACCACCACTAAATTATGTCCTAAAGGGCCACGTACCTCCAGGGACAGTGACTCCACTATTCCTCCAGGCAGACTCTTCCCATGCTTGACAACCCTTTCTGTGAAGAAATTCTTCCTGTTGTCCAGCCCGAACCTGCTCTGGCACAACTTGAGGCCATTTCCTCTTGTGCTGGCTGCTTGTGAGAAGAGCCTGACCCTGACCTGGCTACAGCCTCCTTTCAGGTAGTTGTAGAGAGCAATGAGGTCACTCCTGAGACTCCTTTTCTCCTGGCTAAACACCTCCAGCTCCCTCAGACACTCCTCATATGACTTGCTCTCCAGACTCTTCACAAGCTTTGCTGAAAGAGACGATGGCTTTGCAGACATCTACCATGTGCTACAGTTGAGTGACAAGCCAAGGAAACCTTTCAGACAGAACCATAATTCTCCTTAATGCTCTGTATTAGAAACAAAGATATACAGGAAGACTTTGCACTTTTGAACTACGACATACTGGTACTCAGCAAACAGTAATACTTTATTTTGACATCTCCAGATACTGTCTCAGGGATTCTGTAGCTTCTTGCTGTCAGTGGATTCATGTTCAAGCTAAATCCATTCAGGTATTCATCTCCTTACCAGGGCTATCTTGGTCTGCTACAAAAGTCGCAAATCTCATCTGATACTCCCTAGGGACAGCTATGCATTGCAAATGCTGTCTAATTTCTTTTTTTTTACTCATTTTGATGTATGTTTTTATGTATGTTTTGTGGTCACTGCTCCATTTCCATATCAGTCATTCTTTTCTTGAACCAACCTGGCTCTTCCCTCCAAGTATTTTCTGGGGATCAATGAAAAGATTTATTTTCTCCTTTGCAACCTAACAGTTTTCTCAGTTGTGAACATGACTCCAGGCTGATACCCAGTTCCATACCTGCATAGCTTTTCTCATTTCATGTTTCTTCGATTGTCCTTCATTTATTAATTAAATGGCACTTCCTCAGAATGTTTGTTCCAATTCTTACCTTTTTTCTTCTCAAAGAAAATGTCCTCCTCCAATTTGTCCAAGTTTGTGCTTTTCAGTGCTCACTTTTCCCAGTGTCAGTCCAGACTGCAAATGGACTATTAAGCAGAATTCATTTATTGCTCTTAGTGATTGGGTGACTTCCTCTTTCTGCTGCCTGCACTTCATTATTTGCTCTTACTCTCTTAGACCTAAGTGCTTCTTCTGGCAACAGTTTTCTCACACATGCAGATAATTTCTATGTCTCTATATATTCTTATCTAATTCAAATATATTATTATAGGCAGTTTTACTCTTGCCTATACAACATGTTTTTCACTTTTTAGTGGTGACTTCTCTTATATGTCAAGGCTTTTCTTCTGAGGATTTTCAGCTCTCATCCATTCTCTTTTCAATGTATTTCTAGTCTCAGATACTTACTTCTTCTTGCTCTTTTCTTTCTGGTTGTTCTTTCCTCCCAGTTGATCAGTAATTTTTTTCAAAATTTTATTTTAATTGTTCATCTTTTTCTAATCTTCAGTGATTTCTCCCCATCATTATCTTCTCTATCTTGCTTGACTAGGCAGAGCCAAAACCTTAGACCCTCCACTCTACACCACTGGAAAAAATAAAAAAATTGTCTCTATAGAGATAACTCTTCAATGGTGTTACAGTTAATCAACTCTTACAATTTGTTTCTTAGCCCTTAGTTTAATTTATCCACTGCCTTCTTCATTCTTCCTCACTACTCATACTCTCTACTTGGAGTCACAGAATGGTTTGAGTTGGAAGGGACCTTGGGTGTCATTTAGTTCTGATCCCATCGCCATGGACGGGGACACCTTCCACTAGACCAGGTTGGTCAGAACCCCATCCAGCCTGGCTTTGCTTCCAGAGATGGAGCAACCACACCTCCTCTGGGCTACCTGTGCCAGAGCCTCACCACCCTTGCAGTAAAGAGTTTCTTCCATAGAATGAGGAAAGATGAGGACATGATCATAGAGACTTCATACAGTATGGGGCAGATCTCACTTGCCTTCAATACCCAAATAGTTGTGCTGATAATACCTGAGAAGGATTCTGCTTTAAATTTCTGTTATCCTGTATTTTACGTATCAGGACAAGGTATTTTAGAAACATGAATGTTTCATTTAATGTTTAAGGTCTCTCAAATAGAAAAATAATAGCTAAAAAATGCATACTAAATAGTAGATTGAAGGGGTACAAATTCTGCTCATGTCCTAGCTTGTCAACCCGAAACTTGAAATTTGAATATTGTATTTGAAATCTTTAGAAAATATCCAGATGCTGAAAAGATATACTTTTTGAATTATTACTGTACCACAAAATGCCTACATTTTCATATAACAAGCACTAAACTGACAATCTTCCAGTATAGGATTCTGGTATTTAATTTGCATTAGTAACTACAAAATACTGTAAATACATTACAGAAAGATGGAAATGGTGACTTTAACAGACAAAACTTCCTAGAATGGTTCAGCTGAAAGCAAGTTCGAACTTTGTGTCAGTGAAGATTTGTACCTGGCTTTTCAGTTAGGTGGGAGAGGCAACTCATTATGATCTCTGTTCAGAACTGCTGGTTAGTGTGTAAGAGGTGGGGGGAAGCAGTGCTGCAATGGGCTTTAAATAATTTTCAGTCCCTGGAGTACTCTGAATGTCACTGAGCCTCATCTGAACACTCCTGAAGAGTGAGCAAGCCATGTAAAAGCCAGATCCAGCATTCAGAGCCTGCCACAGGGATATGGGAAATACTGCCCCTGAAATACAATCTCCTGATATCTTTGCTTTTATGGCTAATTATGGTGGTGAAAACCATTAAATAGAGTACATAGAGAACTGATGGGGTATCTGAACATATACCCAAAACATATATAGTCCTTATATAGAGATAGATTATATGTGCAGGATTCATATTTAAGATTGTGATGGAAAGCCACAAATTACTCTTGTTCTCCAATTGTGCAGTGTATAACTTTACATAAAGACAAAACTATCTCATTATTTAAATTCTATAGCTGATATTAAAAATTAGATTTTCTTGATTATTTTTCTGTTCCATTTATTGATCAGTTTGCCTTTTAGTGATTCTTCAAAGACTTCTGATAGGACACTTGTATTAGAATTTCTTCAGTGTATTTAAAATAGCTTCCCAACAATGAGGGAGTATTTTTAACCCTACTCTCTCTAAATAGGAGTACTTTTCTGAAGAATGCATATGGTGTTCAGACATTAGTCATTTGACTTACTACCTAAACAAAATGCCCAAGAATCATGAACTAGAGGTCTTTGTTTTATAAGTTGGGCTCCAGTTATGTAAATAATGCATTTAAAAATGCAGTCTTTTTAAAAAGACTTATGTTACATATAGGCACATGTTTTAGCTAATAGTCTGTAGAGCTGACACTTACAGGTAAGGTATTTATGTGTTTGTGGGTTGGTAAATAAATCACTTCTAATGAGGCTTTCTAAATAACTACTCTCTTATTTTTTCCTTAGAAAGTAAAAACATTAGAAATAGGACACTTCATTTAGCTACCAAGCAAAGCTTAGTTTACTAGTTCATTTCTTCAAAAAAGATGAAATATACTTGAAATGCACCAAGCAAGGGTAAAACCAAGAAGCCCAAGGTGGGGTGGTGAGGAAAGGAGGGCAAAAAGATAATTTTCTAAGAAAAGCAGTATTTTCTACCTTCCACTTGAGAGAGAAGCAGGAGGCCAATGAGGACATACAGACTGTAAATAAAAAAACTCATGTTGCACCTTTGGCAGATTACAACATTTTCCACTTCTGCTATTCCTGAGGTTCACCAATACCTGAGTTTATAAGGAAGAGATTAGTAAATTAAAGGCAGGAAAGAAAAATATGCTCTGATAACCATCATCCTTATCAACACCAACCAACTCCCAGAAACACAGGACAACCATTTTTTGCCAGTCTATACAAAATTATATCTCATAAATGGAGCAAAAAGTAGAATTTGAAAGAGGTTTATCTGCATATTACCATTGTTTCAAACATGTCTTGAAAGTCTGAAATTGCACTATGTGAAGAATGAATAATATTACAAAACACCCACAACAAAGTGGCAGTGGCTATGGTTAGGTGAATTTTCCAGCTTAGCCTATTTAATTTCAGTTTTACACATTTACTTTAAAATTTTGTTTCATTGAGTCATGTATAGAATCAAAGGCCCTTCTAGAAAGCTTTGTAATTTTAAGATTATTTCATATTAATTTAATTTTACTATCAATCAAAGGCTGTAGTATGTGACAAGCTTTTGAGTGCCAGAGAAAATAATCCTTTATTGCTGTTGTTGTTTCATCAACAGGAAGGTTACATAGGGCATTACTTCTGTAGGTCAAGCCTACTGTGCATGCTGGGGAGCCTTTCTTCTCCCCTCTAAGTGCACTGGCTACAAACATTCACATCCCCTGTAATTTGCCAGCACTTTGCAGCCCCTTGTGTTCCTTATTTCATTCTAGAGTTTCTAGGTATATCCCCACCCTTGCTTTTCTCCCAGAACAGGACACCCTCTTGTCTTACCTTCCAGCCAGTGTCTTGAAAACCATTCATTCAGGGATTTTCGTATTTTAAATGCTGAAAAGAGATGCACAGGTGAAAGTCTAAAGGCTGATGCAGAGGCATTTTTAGGTTCTGGATGCGATAATCAGAGTTCCACCCACTTTGATTTTCCCTGTTCAACCCACTGATTCAAAGAAATTGATTAAATATAAAATTCCAGATATGACACAGTAGAAGTAGACAGAAATTCCATTGAGCTGCATGTTGAATCTCCCTTCAGTTTAGCAGTTATGCTGCTGCTACCACCTCTCTGCTAACCTATGGACAGCAAGGCAAAGCTGTTTTCCTTAAAATACTTTAAATACACAATTAAACTACAAGGCCTTCTTAAAATGAAATTATTGCAATTGTGAGAACCATTCTTTTTCAGTAGTTAATAGGCCCAGTAGTGTGAACCAAGTTAGTTGTCATGTTTTTTGCTTCTCAAGGTATTCTTTTGTTAGTCCCAGATAGGGGCAATTCTTTGTCTGTTTCTCCATCATTTTGTTTCTACAATACCGTGTCAAAACTGACTAATGGGGAGCAATTTCTGTAAGGATACTACATATTCCTATTCAATACTAAAATGACTATCAATACATATGGAATACCAAAATCACACTATATGTTTTAAAGAGAAATGTGAATACCTAGAACTTTTAGTATGTCATTTTTACGCATAATAATATGCATTTTTCTTATAAATAGTTATGCTATACTTAGTATAAGACAGACAGCAACATTACATAGCCCATTAAGTGAAAAAAGATGTATTCAACAGTAAAATACAGTTAGAAGTAATTAATACACTAATTTTTTTCCAAGGGCTTTCTATTGGTTAAGTTGAAGTCCTTGAATACATGGACTCTAGGTTTTACGTATCTGGGCAGTATATAGATGATGAGATCCACTGAATTTAATATATGCACTGAAGTACAGAAAGGCATTATAGCTTTTGATTTTCATGCTGAATCTCTTTTTTTGTGCAGTTTTCAGTGCACACAGTGATGTTTTTCCATGTCTAAGCCACCTTTGCTGAAACCAACTAGCTGGAAGACCAGCTGGAGACCTTTTCAAAATATACTTCATAATCTTGAAGGAAGGGTATTCTTATTTTTCTGGCCAGCAGTAAATTTTCTACCTCAGTAGCATGGCTTATGGTACAGTATTAAAGATCCAAGCTTTCACAGCAGGTTGTATTGGCTATGTAAGCTTACACTGATTAAGCTTCTAGGAAGAAACAGTCAAATATAAATACACAAAACAACAACACAAATTCTCAATTGAACTTAGCTAAATCAATGAAATGTGAATTGTGAATTTATCTCACTTTAATGTACATTATACAACTAAACCCAATTTAAGAAACAGTCAAATCCATGGCCTATAGATTAATCCATATTGATATTTTCCGTGCAGTGTAATTTCGACTTTCCAGCACAAGATATCCAATACTACTGCTCTGTCTGTTGACAGTCACATTGGATTCTTTTAATAAAATCTAGTATTGCATTGCTGCTAGACTGAACAAGAAGTGAATTTCCACATGGAAAATTTTGGAAGAAAAGTAGATTCAGGTCTCATTATTACTACTTCCAAAGGCAATAATACATACTCTCTTTTTGACACATAAAGTCTATTGATACATACTATGGAAATGAATATGAAAATCACCACTAATTACTGAAGGATCACACTTGGAAGATGTGGCCTGGAGCCTGGACTCTTCCTCACCTGCTTGACTGTAAATTACCCTCTAGTGGCTCTTTGGAGCATACAGTCTTTGCAGGTATCACTGCTTCTTTTGTAAACAAGGTGAGGTGACAGCATCTTGCTGACATTCATTGCCTATAAAATAATTATTATATGGAAATTATGAAGACTGTAATAATACTGCTAGGCTCCATCCACACCCCTGCCAGGCACACCAGAGAATTCTGTCACGGCACACCTGTATGCAACTCAGAGCTGGAGCCTTACTGCAAAATCTGGCTCTTTGGCTCATTTTCTCTCATGCCTTTGAAAACTAGTTAAGATTCTCCAAAGGTGCTAGGTTTTCCTTAAAAAAAAGAGTCAACATTTCAAAATGACAGTATTTCTTATGGCTCCACTGTTTGGCAGAAGGGTTTCCAATGAAACTCATGAAGATTTTCCTGGCATTCCACATGGCATTTTACTTTGCCATCTGCTGGTGGTCCCCAGCTTCCAGGTTCCTCTGTTTTAGCTTACTCTTTCTGTGAAAATCTTCCAAAGCTGGGAGCTCAAATCCACAAATAGTCTATGTGGACTTTTCTCAGTGGCTTGACTTTGATGTCAGGTAAGACTTCACTCACCACATAATGAGCATGATGACCTTAGTCCTCCCATTTTCCCTGGATCAGAGCTGGATCGTCTTGCTGTCAAGGCACTGATCCCCCAGTGCTATCTTAGCTGCCTGGAAGGTCTGGCTCAGGCTGTGACTTTGAGTTTCCTGTTTCTCTGCCTTAGAGCCAAGGGCAGGCAGAGGTTGGTTGATTTACCTTCTCATTTTCATTTAGAACATAGATACAAGGCAAGCCATAAAAACCCAGAAGGCTCAGAACTTGTGTTCTTGTTCAGTTTCACATAGAATTTTTCAAATTCTCTTGAATGGAAATAAGAATCTTCTGCTTTGGTTTTGAACAGAAATTCCCAGTTTCTGCTGAAACTGAAAGTGAAAAAAAAAATCTTCAGGGAAATTAACATATTAAATATCACATATATTTGGAGTCAAATGACCTGGACATAAGAGCAATGTTTTCTTTTTTTGCTTCCCCTTGAATGCTCCCATGCAGTCTCCTCAGTGTCATCAATGTGCTGAAATATGCTATAATCACTGTTTTCCACTGTCTGATGGTCAGCATGCACATGAGCTTTTCTCATAGCACAGAGAATAACACAGTCACTCCATCTTGTAACCTTGGAAAATTAAAGCAAATTTTCCCTGAAAAAAGTAAAACTGACTTCAGTTTACTATATGCACAAAACAAATTACCAAAGGAAGACAAATATTTTTGTTTCTTTTTTAATCTTGTTCAGGTGTATTTATTTTAAAGGGTGCTTGAAATTTCAGAGTGGAAATGGACTTTTGAAATTGTTTTACTTTCCAACACTGTATGCCAATAAGTTGCCTTTTCACCTTTTTCTCAGCTTAGTGGCTGTATGAAAAACCAAAATATAGAAAAGCAAAAAATCAGACTACAAATCAATCTCCACAAAATTAAAATATTCTATTATTGTAATTTGAGATAGATGGTATTTGTAGAGAAAACAACCCATTCTCATTATGAATGAGATTTAGTTTTACTTTTTCACACTGATATATAACCTTAACCCTTGAGCAATCCCACAGAAATGATTTTATATTGTTAATGTTCAGTGTGAGACCCATTGAAATAAATGGCAGAGATTCTATTAACTTCAGAAGAGTTAGATTAATTCCTGATCTCCTTGGCTGTTAGAGTCTGTCCTGGTATCTACCTAGAAGCATAAGAAGGTAAAGTACCATCACAGAAAAAGATTATGTACCTTTGATGAGCATCATGTCATTTGGTAATACAGAGAATTTAAATCATATAGTACAGATAATTAATCAGTATCATATACCAGATTCTTGTCTTTGTGCTCACCTTTATTGACCTTCACATGTGTGGCATCTTTCTAGAATATAATTTCCAGCAAGTTCTAAGGTTCAGCTCAAGCCTGCTTGAATTTACCTTGTTAGCAGCTATGGTACTGTTTAAGGTTAAGGTTAGTATTACAGGAGGGAAGCTGGTTAGGGATGCATGTGTTTGGAAAAGGAATTCTGTGGAAGGGAATGCTCCTTTTCAGGAACTGTTTACTGTTCTCTTTTATGAAGGGTACTTTCTATTGCAGTGGAAATGATGGATTAGTTTTGTTTGTGGAAACTTGTGAACTTCCATTGTTCAGGGGTCTGCAGTGCAGGACACACTTGCAGACAAGTGCAGGCGGTTGGCTGGGAGACAAAGGAAAGTTTTGCTGGAGGACTCACTTGGAAATGATGAGTCCAGGAAGTGAAAGTTTGGCTTAGCTCACGTTGTGATGAGCTTAAGATTTACATTCATTCAAATTCCTTTGCAAGTTGTGGATAGACAAGTGAGTTTAATCACCGATACCTTTCAAGTGGACTTTCAGCAAATGTCAAACTGCTGTTATGGCACCTTCTATGGCAAAAATGCATTTTAACTGAGGGGGAAAAAAAATAGTTTGTTGGTGCAGTATAGGCTTAAACATGATCCAATATAATGTAATTTATCATTCTTTATTTTGTTTTACTCTGTGATGCAATTAAAAACAGCCAGGCAACATTTCTGTATATTAAACTCTTAAGGGAAAGAATATGTCTCTTCTTGTGCACTTTGAAGTGCCTCCAACACCTTGGTTCTTTATAAACTGCAGTAATAATAATCATTTATTGCTATGCAGTGTGGTCTGGTTTCCCGTTTACATCCAGTATGATTGGTTGTGCTGTGTCGCTGTCCTGTTCATCACTTCTCACCTTGCACTTACATGCAACTTCTATTATGGTTATTTTTAGAATACATAAGGCACTCAAATAACATGATTACGAGTGTGGAACAACAGCTTAGGAAACAGATAGGAGGATAGTTCACAGAAAGAAGCAACATGCTGCACCTAAGCTGTGCAAGATCAAACCTGACACTGTAAAATCAAAGAGAGAGTGTTTAATAGGAAAATAATGTCATGAAATTCCAATGACTCCTCCATTTTTAAAGTTGACTTACCATCATTTAATGGGTTTGTAGATGTATTAAGAAAGTTCTATATGTATGTATCCACATGTGTCTATCTATATAGGCAATATATGTGTGTAAATACGTGCACATACACCTGGGATGTGTATTTATATGTGTGTGTTTTACAAAATACTCAGAAAACAGTGTGCTGCAGGAAACAAAACAAACAACTATAATACTGTTTTACATTTCTGGAGAGAAGTAAAATGACCATAAGTTTCCCTTTTATGGAATCTGAGCAATCTTCATAGAAAGCCTCATTTTCTGTCAGCTTCAGGAATGACATATATTTACATGCATTCAGACAGCTTGTGATGCCTAGAGGCAATGAGTATCGGGGAAAGGAGCAGTGTGGAATGCTCTCCCAGCTCTGGCTGACAGAGGGTACTGAGTGTTTTGTTCCAGTTGTCAGTCATTAGAGCACCCCTGCGATTTCTCCAGCTTCCTGCTGAAGGCTGTCTTGGGTTCTTATCACCAGGATGG